ATCCTATTCACTGTTTATCTATAAAAACCAACCAAAACAGCCCCCACAAAAACAAGCATCTTTATCATTAACAATAAATAAGCCCAGTTTGTACTTATTCAGCTGGTTAGACCTCTCTGTGGAATGTATAGATGATTGCAGACTGTGCTTGCACACCACCTCATTCACTCTCCTATTAGTTTGTTCCTGTCAAAGTGGGACAGCCTGCCTTCACGAGTTTGACCAAAAAAGGTTTTCAGTCACTTCTCAAGGCTTTCATAAGTGACTGGAGTTTCTCAGTTATCACTGAGATGATTTAGTTGTCATTAGGTGACCCCAAGTGTAGAATATTGGTCATGTGATTACAGGTGGTTGTACATTATATTATACATTTTATTGTTTGTATTATATTTACTTATATTGCCCTCTTTTGCGTCTTTTGTTAGCTCACCCTCAGGTAATAAGGTCTTATTAGCCACAGTCACAGAACACGTCTTTTAGTCATCCAAAATCATTTGTATTTTTCACTTCAACTGCTAGCAGTGATGTCAGAAATAATCACATTATTTTTGGGTTGCCTTATTTTGTTTTGTTTTATAGAACAATTGCTGAAGACACAAGCCACTGATCAGTATTTCCCTTTTGATTATATCCATGCCTGGTACTACACTCCAACACATCACATATTTCAAAATACCCTGAGCAGTTTAAAAGACTGCTACTGTAGATTATAGATCAGTTTTTAATATTGGATTTGAAATGTAATGCAGGAGCAGCCAAATTGGACAAAAAAACATAAAATATAAAAAAGGCCATATTATATTACACTTATTGCCAAGAGAAAGATGGCAATCTATTTTTATTACAAATAATTAAATCTGTCTCCCAAATCTGGAACTGTGTGTGCGCAGCAAAGTCCTGAGCATTATGCTGTGATAAAACACACACACACACACTCTATCAAAACATCACCAGTGCATGTGACAGACTGAGAAAGTGGAAGAAACACAACAGGCTACACACAGTATCTCTCCCTCTGATACATGCAAGCAATTACTGTAAACTTTATATCTGATCTTGCCTCCCACCCCAAAAAATTACCCCAATTTAACAAGAAACATAGATTTTGTAGCTTGTAATGCCCGGTTATCAGCATGTGTGATTTGATTTGTCAACACATTTTCAGCCATATCCATTAATGCTCACGCAGCCGCGCTAATGACTTGCGGGGCCCTCGCAGTGAAGCGGAGCCATTTCTCTGGTGAAATGCACCGATAAAATTTACAAAGTGAGAAAGTGAGCAATAATGGATGAGTAGTTTTTACTGGGTGATTAGGCTAATGTGTTTTTAATTGGCAGGAGGGAGCTCCTTTTGTTAAGGTATTCAGAATTACTGCAGTAGAGTAGACAGGAGGTGTTGAGCGCCATGCTTTTCAAACAAATAATGAAAAGACGACACGCAAAGGATGCAGGTACACTCATCATTTCAATGTGATTCTGGAAAGCCATTATTTTTTAATGCTTCTCTCTCTCGTACCAAAAAAATCCTTCACATCTACTTTCATTAATGTGTACACTATATATTACCTTTCCCCCTCCAACTCTCTCAACTTGTTCTCATTCCCAAGTCATCACATATGGATGCATGGTCAAGACCCGTTGCTCTGGGGAGCACCTTAGTGTCATAGTTAAATGCACTGGGGAAAGCCCAGTCAGTTTTCAATGCTAAGGGTAGGTGTAGGATATTTAACACAAATGTCCAAGTAAGGAGGTGCTTGAAGTAGAAGGGTGGGCCAGAAACTGGACTTTCAGGGCCGGTGTTTGTTTCCCATGTAAAGTCCACATTGAATGTTTGTTGAAAGTTGCATAAATTACATAAGTAATGTAACTTACGTAAGTTAGCTGACATATGTAACAGTTATTTTAACCCAAACCGTGATCTTTTCCTAAACCTAACCAAGTAGTATTGGTGCTTCAACCTTACAAAATATCCAGGCTTACAGCTGTAAGTATAACTATATTTGTAATTAACGTTAGTTACAGGTATAACTATGGAATTATTAGCTAACTTGCTAACACCTGTGCTAAATTACCATTAGCTGTCAAGCAAGTCAGCGAAGTGGTAACGTTACATACAATTCTAACAACAACAATACATTTATTATGAATACAAACACCATCATTTGAATATTACTTGACCGCATACACCACAAATTACAGTTTGAATGATTACTCATTTGTATTTCTCTGTTGCTTCCTGGTGCCTCAGTCTGCCATTTTGCAGTCTGAAGAGATGCAATGGATTCTGGGGCAGTTGAATGTGTGCAGTAAGATCATGGCGCATACACAGAAATTCTTTCTAATCTAGTTATGTCCCCGCCTTGTCTAAGAGTGTGGGACTAAGACAGATAAACGGGTGGAAAACCAAGGATGAATCCAAACAAACAAAGGGGTTTATCAAATGAAAGTGATCTCTGCTCACACTAGAAACAATAAAAATGATAGTAGGCAAAGTAAACTAAATAACAGAATATTCAAGCTTATAAACACAGTCCACAATGTCTACGGTTCCTACCACTCTGGAAGAGCACATGCGGAAGTCGCCCTGCTGCTCACACCGGTTTTTAGCTGGTTGGGAAAACTGGGCCGATGGCCACCTCCACAACGGCATTGAACACGGCACGGAGAGAAGTTGGGGATCGCCACCTAGCAGGTCACGCTACACAACACACACTGTCCACAATGAACCACACAGCCACACAAGCCGATGCTAGCAACCAAGGGAGAGTGACAGAGTGAGCACTCCACTGGTTCAGCTCATATGCCCCACTGATTGCCGCCATCAGCTCTAGCTGCAGGATTTACGTGGCGTCAGGCGCAGGGCACAGGTACACACCTGCAAAAGAGAAACACACAGCAACTCGTGTACCTCAGGGGTCGTAACAATACATTTGAGTGTTATGGTGTGGGGACAGAGTGGACCCAAACGCAAGACTCGGGAAGAACAGGCTTTATTGAAGGGGAAAAGGGGTTGAGGGAGTGGAGGTGGCTAACGAGGTGCAGGTGCGGGTCGTTGGCTGGGCTCAGGAGCGGAGGGAGAGAGAGAGGGAGGGAGAGAGAGAGGGAGGGAGAGCACACGCAGGGGGAAAGCAGGAGACACAAACAGGCAGAAAACACAGGGGAAAACAATCACAAGCAAAAAGGAGAAATAAACAGGACACTCACCGTCAGCCGGGCTGCCACCACAACACTGAGCCTTTTTTTTTTTTACTTGTCACATTGTGCTTTTATTAATACACCAACTCCCTCAGCCACACATACAAACTGTTTTGCAATATTTTCACTTTCAAATATCTTGGAAATCTCAGTGTTTTATGATGCACAAATTGAAATACACATTAAAACAGGTGGATGGAAGCCAATGATTAAAGAAAAATTGGTGGACTGCCTCTTTAAAAGTGTAAGTATGCGCGGTAAACAAATGGCAGAAATATTATCAGACAATGTGCCTAGTGTTGCGTTTTTTCAGATTTTGAGAAAGGAGAGGCTCAGTCCAATGAAAATTAACAAAAAGATTTAATTACAAAAATTAGTGAATAAAGAGATGGCATTACAGAACAAACAAATAACACTGCAGTGGACTGGAAAGTTGTTCCTCTTTTCAGATTTACAGCTTACAGTCCCGATTCTCACCAAACTAATTGTTAATATCCTCCAGGTATGTGGGCGGGTTTTTTCCTTCAAATGGCTCAGGACCAAAGCCATTGGTCATTTGGTTACTTCTTCGTCACCCAATTAGGAAGGGTGTACCTTACTGCTCTATGGTACTTTTGGTCGAACAAAAGAGCGCCAATTCCCAGACGTGAAACCCCCTTCAATCTACAGGAATAAACAGTCTTTTGCTCTAAACTAATCATGGAGAACAACAGGGCTTGTCTACAAAATGGTTAACACCCTGTCTTAAGTGTCAATGAAACAGTCAAAAAACTGTCCTTCTGGCACTAAACAAAGAGGTGTCAGTTTTCTTTACATTACAAAGAGGATACAAACAATGGTTTAATCAACATTCTAATGAAATTGTCTGGCCTAAAACCCAGCAGGTTTACATTTGAAGAAAGCACTGAAACACTGGAGTACATTAAGTTTTGTTGTAACTTTTTAAAACTCAACAATCCCTCCTTTCACACCATTTATTGGTGTGAAATTACTATTAGACTTAGCATATCTTCAATTATGTCATTGAAAATTAAAACATTACATACACATCAAAATATGATTCCAAAGATTCTAGACATTTTAACAAAACAGAAGTTGTAAACTCAAATCATGATTTATGCAAAGAAATCATCTTCTTCCTTTCTGATCTCACTATCTGACTCTTCATCTTGCATTAAATGTGCCATTTCTCTTAGCACAAACTGTCCCTCACGTTCCCTTGTTAACGCTGTGGTGATAAGCCTATTGGCTAGAGTTCTAATGCAGGGAATGCAGCAGCACCCACAGAGCACAAGTATTGCACACATTATTGCTATTGACAGGATGATGCTGTGGAAAAAAGCTCTGTATTCTCCAAACATGGAGTTGAGGATTTCGAACGGTGAATCTACACCACTATTGTCAGCCAGTTCTTCACTTAAAGTGGTGAGTCCTTGAAGCGCCCGTGTGACAGAGCCATCAGGTGCTGTGTTATTGGGAATGTATGTGCAACACACAGATTTGAACATTTTGCAGACTCCTCCTTTTTCAGCCAAAATCATGTCCAGAGCTATCCTATTTTGATATGTCATCAGTGTGGTTTTGTCTAACTGTTCGTGCAGTCCTTTTATAGCATCTCGGGTGAAATTAACAAAACGTTGTTGGTTATAATATATGTAGTTCAGCCAATCTACATTTTTGTTAATGGTTGGCCAGAGAAAAATGGATTCAAATCCCGCCCCAATTTGACATCTGGCCTTGTATTCGTCAGGAACTCCTCGAGGTACCCCTATGGGGTCAATGTATATTGTTGAGTCAAAGCTACCTTTTGGCAATGCTCTTTTAGTTTTTTGTATTTGAGTGTGGGGGCTGGCAGCTGCTGTAAGTAAATCTCTGCTGTTGAATGGCAACGCATAGAATGGCATTACTAATTGAATCAGGGCACAAATGCCAGTCCAGTTTAACGGCAGGGTTGGATACAGAGTCTTTTTTCCACAAAACCACCAGACATCAGCTCTTGCGGTGTGCATTCTACCTAAAGCTTGAATAGTAGTCTGATTGATGCCTTTATTAATGGTGTTACAGCTTGTGAGATTACCTACTATTATCCCACGATTATCTGAACGGTGAATGCATGAGTATTGTCCCTCATAAGGGATGAATGGCGGAGGTGTTGTACCTCTATTAACTTCAGGATATAGTAAGTTTAATGAGGTGCAATTTTGCGCAGTTTGTTTCAGATAAAAGTGTATCATGCAGTTATATCCAATGGGATCATTTAGTGGATTGAGCGGGAATGGCATGGTGCCTAACAGGGGGCGGGCCGAGGCACAGGTAATACAGTCTGACATGTGGTGTATTTTTGCTGAATATCGAACCCAATCAAGCCAAGTATTTTCATCACTGTATCCTGTTTCTATTGCAATTGCTTGTCCTGGATTATTATTATCTAAATAGGTAACTAGCTGTGGGTCCTTTATATCGAGTGGTGTATCATTGGTTGTGGTAAATGGTGAGCGGCTAGGAGTGAAAAAGGCATTATTTTGTGTGTTTGATGTAATAGTTGTTTTCTTGCTGACCTGTATGCTAAAATGCCCCAATGGATCTTCCCCAGCTTGATAAGCCCCCAGCACATAGACATCGGTATCTGTGATCTGCGGATTCTCCAGGGTGAGAAACAAAGGGTTGCATTTATCAGTGGTACAATCACTAGGAGGGGAAGCCTTAAACATTGAGAGTCTATGTTTTAAGGGCGTTTTTCCTTCTTTTGCTGGGGGGGTATATCCCCAATCATGCGGTCCCGTGTTAGCAATTACATAATCCCAATTTGTACACCATCTGTCCATGGGGAGATTTGCTGTATGATAGACCTCACACACATATTTTTCAGACCATACATATGCGACCTGACTTCCACTGCAGTCCACTACTGAACAAAAGTCGAATTGAGCGGCTCCGGTTTCACCTTCTGTAAATTGTAACGTTAGTATGGGTTCAGCAATCCTCCTGGATCTTCTAAATCTTTTGTGATTTAAAAAGGAATTTGTACTGTTGGGTGGGGTAGAGTTTGCTATGCGTACGGTGCCAATGGGCTGAATGGGAGCTGAGGATGACCTGTTTTCAGGAGATGAGACTAGGATTATTGTTACAACTAGAGAAATGATTATGGCTAAAATTGTTATGGTTCCCTTTACCCCACAAAACTCTAGGTGCCTGAATTTATTCCCTCCCTTGAATTCCATTTATTTATATATATATATATATATTATTTTATTTTTTTTTTTGTAAATGTGGAACTAAAAAAGAGAAAACAAACTAAATACAATAAAAACGAAGAATTATTGAGTTTTAAGTAAATGTGGAAGAAAAAAGAAAACAAACAAAAAATAAAATGTAAACAAAGAATGATTGAGTTTTAAATGAACTACCAGAGTCAAATTTCCTGGATCTGCTGTGTATAATCCTAATTCATAATGCCAATCAAAAATCTATTTTTGTTTCACAGCGTGGCCAAATCAGTTCTAACCTCCTCTATTGATCGGGAGGGGGCTTGAGCGGGTGTACAATGTGTAAGGTGGTGCCAATTAGCTCCTGCTTTACCTCTAATTTTCAGGGCGTGGGTGGAGTGCTCAATCACTTCCCACGGTCCTGTCCACCTGGGTTCAGCCCACTTTCTCTTGTGGACTTTCACCCACACCCAGTCTCCAGGCCCAACAGGAGTCTCTGTTTCGTTCCACGGTGCTTTGGTAGCAGTTTGGACCTGTGAAGACAAAACTCGAGTAAGATTAGCAAGGGCTTTCATGTAATCTCCTACTTCTATCTGCCATAAGTCCAACACTGGACCCAGACCTCCATCTCTGGGTGGCCCTGGCATTGGCCTGCCTGTCAACAACTCGTGGGGAGACAGGTGAGTTTTGCCACTCTGTGATGTTCTCATGGACATTAGAGCCAGGGGCAGTGCATCTACCCAGTTCATTTTGGTGTTATGACAGGCTTTGGCAATTTTTCTTTTCAATGTTTGGTTAGCTCTCTCCACCAATCCTTGTGAAGATGGGTGGTACACTGAACCAAACTTATGCTCAATGCCAAAATATTTCTCTACTTCACTCAACTTCTGGCTAGTGAAGTGTGATCCATTATCTGATCTAATGCACCGGGGGACTCCATATCTTGGTATCAGTTCGTTTTTTAGCCATTTTACCACTGAGTGTGCATCCTCTTTTTACATGGGATAGCTTCAATCCATTTGGTATAACGGTCTACCATAACCAAAATGTATCTGTGCCCTCTTACTACATTATCTGCCCCCATGTCTGTAAAGTCTATACAGATTTCTTTAAATGGAGCATCTGGAACCGGAAAACGTCCCATTGGACATTTGTAAGGTCTCCTGTCATTGAAAGCATTGCATTTCCCGCAGTCGTTAATAAAGTTTTCTACCATTTCTTTCATGTAAGGATGCCACCAATGAATCTCCACTCCTTTAGTGGTTCTTTTCCTACCAACATGGGTGGGTCCATGGGCTTCTTTAATTAATAAATGACAGAGTTCTGCAGGTGCCACCAAACGACCATCATGTGTTCTCCAAATACCTTCATCTGTTTTATTTGCGCCTTTTGAAAGCCACTGGTTTTGTTCATAGGGGCCTGCCTGTTCTTGCATTCTCTGTATGTGTTCTTTGGTTAGTTCGGGGCTGTTCTCTGTCTGTAGACATATCAATTGTCTGTTATAACCTCCTGCTTGTTTAGCTGCTTTGTCTGCTGCATCATTTCCTTTAGCTACAGGTGAGGTTGAGTTTTGGTGACCTTTGCATTTTATTACTGCTATCTGTGTAGGGAGTAAGATGGCTCTGAGAAGGTCTTGGAGAGCACCGGCGTGTTTGACTGGAGTCTTTTGACTGGTCAAAAATCCCCTCCTTAGCCATTGTGGGCCATCTATGTGTACTGCGCCATGTGCATATGCTGAGTCAGTGTAAATGTTTACTCTCTTGTCTTTCCCTAGTTCTAAAGCTTTGGTTAATGCAATCACTTCAGCTAATTGGGCAGAAGCTGGTTGGGGAATGATGGCAGAGTTTAGGGTCTCAATTTGCTGTCCCTGTTGTTGCACCACTGCATATGAGGCTACATTTCCCTGTTCTCCTCTGTAGCAGCAGCCATCACAGTACAATGTGATTTCTGGATTCTCCAGCGGGCTTGCTTGCAGGTCTTCTCTGAGCTTCAGGTCTTTTTGTGCTACAAATTCACAGTCATGTGGTACATGTTCTTCTGAATTCAGTCCGTTGGCCATGTTTGTTCTTTCTGTTTCATAACTGATGTGTGGTTGGGTCAGGATGTCAGAAATCTTGATTTTTCTGACTGGGGAGAAAGTAAATGCTCTGGAGCTTAAGAATGCAATTACTCCATGTGTAGTGTTGATTTTCAGGGGATGGCACATGACCACATGCGATGTTTTGTCTATGGCCTTAGTCAGGGCTGCTAGATGTCTGGCACATCCTGTTTGTCCTTGTTCAATATTGTCCAATCTGGAACTGTGATACATTAGTACTCTCCTCTCTCCCTCCTTTTTCTGAAACAGAACGGCATTCACAATGCTTCCTGTTTCTGAAACATCAAGATAGAATGGCTGGGTGTAGTCTGGGGAGCAGAGGTGTGCTGCTTGTCCTAGCGCTTGTTTGGTACGGGTGAAAGCTTCTTCTCCTTCTTGGGTCCAATCAAGGGTAGCAGTGAGATTTCGATTTCCGGCCACTGACAACATTTCCCTGAGTGGTTGTGTGAGCGATACATAATCTGGCACATGATTTCTGGAGTATCCTGTAAGTCCAAGGAAAGCAAGCATTTGTTGCACAGTTTTTGGCTTTCCATGTGAGAGAATGGATGTTCTTTGTGATGATGTCAGAGTGAGGCTGTTTGCAGAAATTAGTCTTCCCAAGAATGTAACTGTTCGTCTGCATATTTGTGTTTTTTCTTTTTTGACTTTGTATCCTGCATTGGCAAGGAGTATCAAAAGATCTGTAGTACTTTTTAGGCATGCTTGTGCTGATGGACTTGCTAACAATAAGTCATCGACATATTGAATTAGGACAGTTCCTGATGGCAGTTGGAGATGTTTCAGATTTTTTCTCAATGCTTGGTTGAAAAATCCTGGGCTGTCTTTGTAACCTTGCGGCATACGGTTGTATGTGTACTGCTGTCCTTTGTAGGTGAAGGCAAATATGTCTTGTACTTCTGGGGCGAGAGGCAGGCAGAAGAATGCGTTGGCTAGGTCAATGACACTGAAGTGGGTGTGGGTGGGGTTCAGATTCTGTAAAGCAACATAGGGGTCTGGGACAGGGATGTTTGCGGTGGTAGTGGCTTGATTAATTTGTCGTAGGTCATGTACCATTCTCCATCCTTTGTTTTCTGCTTTTGGGACTGGCAATATAGGTGTGTTCCATGGAGATTGAGTTGGCCTTAATACACCTGCTGTCAGTAATCCCTGTATGGTGTCGTCAATCCCTTCAACTTGTTCCTGTTTCAGTCTGTACTGGGGTTTCCAGCAGGGTAATTGTTGTGGTCTTAATTGGACTGTGATCTGATGGGCGGGGACACATCCTACATCATAAGGATGTGTGGTCCACACTTTCTCTGGGACTAGTGAAAGACACTGTTCTGCATCTGGGTGGTTAGTATGTTCCCTTCCATGATCTCTGTCCAACTCCTGCTTTTCCAGTATTCCAATATCTGTTCCAGCATGCTTAATTTTCCACATAGTTCCATCTGATGAGCGGAGCACTTTTGGGACAGTGGTTTGTTGCCAGTCTTTAGTTAGTGCTGTCTTTATCATGGGTCCTAGTGATCTTGCTTCATATCCAACTCCTACAGCAAGGGTTACATGCGGCTCACTTTCATGTCCCAGAGTATACCAGGTTTTCTGTTCAGGAGTCAGTTCACAGTATGCAGCGACACCTTGTGGTCCCACATAGATGTCAGTGATGGACAGTTGTTCAGTCATTTGTTCTTTATCTTCTTCCCATGCTTGTTGGTATTCCTCGTCTGGTCTGCGTTGGTAGTTGTAGGTACAGTGTAGGGGATCCAGGGGAGGCCCGTATGGGCCCAGTGTGTTGATCCATGGTTTCCATTCCATGTAGTGTCGCTGTATTTCTGGTGTATCGATTGTGGTGCTGCACAGTCTGATCCAATTAACCTGAGTGGTTTCTAGTGGTGTGTCTTGTTTTGTTTCAGGCCCCATCATGAGAATTCTGTGTCCATGTTGTAAGAGAGTATTTGTTGGTTTTTGTCCTGGAAGATGTACAATGAGTCCATCTGTGGTGCACAGAATAATGGCTCCAATTTTTACCAGAAGGTCTCTTCCGAGTAGGGGTATGGGGCATTTGGGGGCATACAGGAATGAGTGACGTAGGGTTTGAGCTCCTACTGTAATGACCAATGGCTTTGTGTAACTTTGTTCTTCTGCTTTTCCCGAGTATCCAACTGTCCGTAGAGTTTTTGAGGAAAGAGGAGGAACCCCTCCTTTTATTTTTATGAGGCATGAAGCGGTTGCTCCACTGTCGACCATCATGTCAATTTGTTCAGACTCTATTATGCAGGTGACCATTGGTTCAAGGTGAGGTGGGGTGGGAACACCTGCAGTTGGATCCTCTGGGCCTCTTCATTGTTCTTCTTCCCAGGCAGTCATTGGCATCTGGGAATAGTTGGGTGGCATGTTTCTCCCCCTTCCTCTCCCTGAGTTTAGTGGTCCTGTTCTGTTTGTGGATTCTCTTCCTCTCCGTAGGCCATAAGGCACTGGTGCGTGTGGACTCCCGTCAGGACAATCTTTGGCCCAGTGTGTGAGCTGTCCACAGGTGTAGCAACCAGTGAATCCTCTTGGCATGGGTTTATATTGTCCTGTCGATGGTGCTTTCTGGTGTTGCATGGGGTGTGGCTTGGGATGAACTGATGGTATGGTTGGCCATGGTGGCCATGTGGGTGTAGGTGTGGTTTCTACTGGTGGCCTTTTCATTGCTGCAGCTACGGCCTGTTCAACCGCGTCTTGTATTTCTCCTGCAAATGATCCCATTATCATTTGTTTTTCGGGTTTATTTTTCTTTGCTTTGTTTATAATGTCTTCTTTTTCTGCTACTTGCATCTTCAGCAGTCTTTTGTTGAGGGCCTTTAACTCTTCATCATGTTCATCCTCTGTTTTGTTATATCTGCTACAGTGATGAGTCAGTTGGAGTCGCCAGTGTTCTTCATCCATGATGTTGAGTCCCGCAATGTCATTCAATTTGGCTTGGACTGCTAATGGGAGAGCCTTTATCACTCTGTCTCTGTACAGCATGCGATTGGAGGTGGAGTGATCATAGCGTTCTCCAGTGCTTTCCAACCATTCATCCTCACACCTTCTTAGAAAGACATGCAGTCCTCATCAGGCATCTTTTTAAGGCTGTCCAATCCAGTAAGGGATCTTAGTGTAGGGAATTTATCTCTTACTGCCTCCCAGTAGACATTTCTGTATCTGTTGAAAGGTGTGTCATCTGCTTCAGTGGTGCATCTGGCTATTCCATCCAGTTCCCGGACTCTAATATTTCCTTCTATACGTCTTATGAGTGCTCTTATGTCTCCCAAACAGAGCTGGTCTCCTGCTGTGTATTTCTCACATTCGATGATCCATCTTTGTCCCCCTTTTTGTAGTGGTGGCAGTTTGGTCACTAATGCTTCCATGTCCCTGTGTTTCCAAGGCTGGTAGATTGTTGCTCCTCCTCCTACAGCCACCAGGGGGTATTGTCCTTGTGTTGTGCTTTCTATGTGTGATCGGGTGTGGCTTGAGATGGGACTGGTCAGGACTGCTCCTTCAGATGTGGGGGGCAGGGCAACCTTTACTTTGCCCCTTAGTCTGAGTGTACATGTTTTGTTGTCCTCTTCTTCTGACTCTGAGGAATCACTGGAGGTGTCCCCACCTTTTTCCTTCCTCTCAGGATGTGTCACACATTCCTTCTTCTTCCTTTCATTTTCTTCTTCACATTCTTCTTGTCCTTCACTGTCATAACCAGTCCTATGTTTTTTAGGCTTTTTCTTACTCTTCGTCTTTCTCTTCTCCTCTTCTGTTTGTCTCTGCCTCAGTCTCTGTCTTTCACTTCCCAGCATGGTGGCTTCCTCCCTGAGCCTGAAGGCTCCATCTCCAGTGCACTCATTATCTCTACACATTTGTCCTTGATCCGGGGTGGAGAAGGATGGATGCACAGGGCTTGTCACTGGCGTTCTGGTGCCGCCACTTCCTGTTCTGCTTGTTTCCAGTATGCTCTGGGTCTCGCTTATCATTTGCTGTGCGTTTTGGGCCACAGCCAGAACCTCTGATATCACCTCATTCAGTTTTCGGTTTGCATCAGGAACTCCATCAACTTCCAGGACTCCTCCTGTTACCTGCATTAAGGGGGCTTGTACAGGTGGATGAGAGGGGGTAGGGAGCCTGGGTTGAGACAGCATGTATGGTGGGGGGGCAGTGGGAATCACTGAATGTAGTCTAAGGTCCTTAAACTCATTCTGCTCTTCCTTGGTGGTGTCTGAGTTGGCCTCTTTCTCTGAGCAAGCTCCACTGGGCTCTTCTGGGATGACATGCTTCACGTACATCAACAACTGAGAGACACGTGCCATACGTTTTGCAGCCTTGTCAAGGGCTCTTTTTGTTGATCCAAATCTTGGTTCTCCTTTCCTCTCCCATTTTGTTTGAGCTTTGGACGCTTCTCCTCTTTCATATCCTATTATCTGTGTTCTGTATGCTCCAGTAGGACATGGGTCTGCATCTCCTGGGATCAGTCTTCTGTCCTGCCAATCCATCCAAATTTTTTCCAGCTTCTTTTTTGTTTTTCTTCTGTTTCTCTTTTCTGTGGCTGCCTCAATTTTCTGGAAAATCTTATTCTTCCAGTCTTCTGTCGTAATGCTAGAGGATGGCTGCAGGGGTTGTTTGTCTGCCATTTTGCTAATTTGTCTATCCCTGACTTCTACAAATCAGTTTATGTCTTACTCTTTTGGTGTTTGGTGTGTACTAATACTAGAAATGAAATGGTATAACAGAAATAACAAAATAAACGATAAATGTTAATTATGTTTTTGATGACACTTGCTTCTGGATTTTATATGATCTGGTTTGCAAATGCTCACTATGACAGAAAACTCACAAATCAAAATTTTTCGTTTTTTTTTTATTATCTGTATTATAAAGGTAATACAAACATTAAAAACAATTGGTAAACTTTATTTAACTTACTGTCTGTTTTTATTTTTAAATTTGGATGTAATATTTTCTGACCACTAGTGGATCCTCTAGTAGCCCTGTTGGCATAAATGAAGAAATAAAAATAACTACAGTCCTTGTTGTAATGATTTAACTTCTCCACACAATGGAGCCACTGCTAGTCTACCACCCAAAGAGAGAGAGATCTCTTTGTTACAATGTAATGCTATCTGAATATTCCCACCCCGTGCAAAAATTAATAAAACGTGTATGGTACTGATTGTTTTCAACTCAATACCCCTCAGAAGCAGTCAAGAGAGAGTCATAAGAGTTGAATGTCTGTATCAATCTCTCAACAAAGTTTTTTCAAAGCACAAACAAAAAACAAAACATTGCTCAGTCACTACAAAACAGTGTTTTGAGACACTGCTTTGTTTAAAACACAATGCTTGAATAGCCTCCTTTTGACTCCTGATTTCAATGCAGACAATCCTTATTTACAAAGATTTTACTTATTTACAGTATGTACAGACCTATATTCAATTGATACCTATTTTCACACACACAATACTAGGCTCACTCTTGTGACCTCGGACCTCGGAAGGTACCGAACCTTCATACAGGTTTTCCACACTTAATACTAGGCGATACAAAAGGAACAAGACGGCGCTTCTCCTTTCGGTACCCCCGAAAAAACCCTGAATTTTCGAAACTCTAGGTTGCGCAGAAATAGGTAGACGGCGCTACTGTTTTCTGTACTCCCAAAAGACTCCGAAAAATTCAGAGAATTCTCGACCTACATACAGGTTTTATTTTTTACCTCTAGGATCACAAAGGCAGAAAATGAGAGGTCTTTGTATGGGACTAAGAAGCCGTCGTCACCGCGCTTCCCGTTTACCAACCCCTACTCCCTCACAGGGTTTCACCCTGGCTTTTTCAAAAAGACTTATTCCCGCCTTCGTGCCTCACAGAGACTGTCTCTGTCGCCGGCCCCACGGTCTTTCTATTTAAAATTTAACTGGGTCTAACCAGGCCGTCCGCCACGGACTTCTAATGTGCACTATTTACCATGGACCTTCATACAGGCTTTTAAGCTTTAAATAACCAATAACATACCATGGACCTTCATACAGGCTTTTAAGCTTCAGACAAACAATAACATACCATGGACCTTCATACAGGCTTTTAAGCTTCAGACAAACAATAACATACTATTGTTCTATATTGCCATCTCGAATGATATTTAACAATCGGTATTTTCACTTTAAATCACTTTAAAATATTAACAGACTTACGGAGTAGACACTGCTTGATTCTCACACCTAAAATCTCCTATATAACCTATACAGAGTTTTGATAAAACAGGTCTCTGTTCTTACCTTTCGATATTTGGGCCCGTGTGAGAATCAGGCAGTCGTCCACTCTCCGTCTGAAGTTTTGTCCTGTCCTCCTTTTCTCAAAATCACGTCGGGGTCACCAATTGTTGCGTTTTTTCAGATTTTGAGAAAGGAGAGGCTCAGTCCAATGAAAATTAACAAAAAGATTTAATTACAAAAATTAGTGAATAAAGAGATGGCATTACAGAACAAACAAATAACACTGCAGTGGACTGGAAAGTTGTTCCTCTTTTCAGATTTACAGCTTACAGTCCCGATTCTCACCAAACTAATTGTTAATATCCTCCAGGTATGTGGGCGGGTTTTTTCCTTCAAATGGCTCAGGACCAAAGCCATTGGTCATTTGGTTACTTCTTCGTCACCCAATTAGGAAGGGTGTACCTTACTGCTCTATGGTACTTTTGGTCGAACAAAAGAGTGCCAATTCCCAGACGTGAAACCCCCTTCAATCTACAGAAATAAACAGTCTTTTGCTCTAAACTAATCATGGAGAACAACAGGGCTTGTCTACAAAATGGTTAACACCCTGTCTTAAGTGTCAATGAAACAGTCAAAAAACTGTCCTTCTGGCACTAAACAAAGAGGTGTCAGTTTTCTTTACATTACAAAGAGGATACAAACAATGGTTTAATCAACATTCTAATGAAATTGTCTGGCCTAAAACCCAGCAGGTTTACATTTGAAGAAAGCACTGAAACACTGGAGTACATTAAGTTTTGTTGTAACTTTTTAAAACTCAACACTAGTCAATAGCTAAATCTCGACACAGTTTGCAAGTTAGGTTAGATTTTGCTATTTTGCTCACCGGTTGGCCCACCACTTTGGTCCAGACTGAAATTTCTAAGCAACTATTTGATGGAATGCTTTAAAAGAGAGCCAATCATGCTTTTTTTACTGCC